CCCTAATATATATATATATATATATATATATATATATATATATATATATTAGAGCCCTCTCTCTTTCTCACCTCCAGCAGCTCATTGTCTTGGTCAGCACAGGAAAGGGTCTGAGAGCCTCAGAGTGGAAAAAAGCCAAAAAATCTGTTTTCATTTCATTTGGATTTAAAATCTGAATATTTTCAATCTGTTTGTTTTCAGTATCCCACTTTCTATAAACTTTGTATTGTTTAAAATTATGATATATATATATATAATAATCATTATTTATTTTGTATTATTTAGTAGTAGTAGTACATACTATTTGGCGTCTCTGTGTCGCTGATGGCGGACACAGTTTTCAAGGCAGATTTCAGAGGAAGTTGAACATTGGAAACCACTGGGCTGAAGGAGGAAGACTCCTCTGTGGAGATCTACATGGAAAAGATATTAACAGAGGAAGCCAGACACAAGCGCGCATGCAACACACACAGACAGCCACAGAAAACACAGAAAAGGCAAATACGGGCGCGTGCACATAAACGCACAGGACAGCACAGGTAAGGGCACAGACGACAGAGACAAAGAAGGCATGTGTTAATGTCGAAACAATGCACATTTATAAAGTTAGCAGTAAACACTTACCACAACAGTTCCATCTGTGCCTTTACCTACTGCTACAGGCTTAACACATGCTGCGCCTGATCCACCTCTAGTCTACCAATACAACCCAACCCAAGCCAGACTTTGCCTCACACCTGTTGGGTGCTCACCAGGAAGCGGACCGCTTGCCGAGCGCTGGTGTTGGTGGTGGAGTTGATGTGGGAGCAGGGGGAGCTGGGCGTGCTGTCGGTGGTCAGGCTGGGCAGGTGATCGTGGATGCCGTTGTCCTGGGCCAACTGGCGGAGGTACTCCAGCCTCCGCAGGCGGCTCAGCTGGAGAGAGAGCAGCGACTGGAGCTGCAGTCGCTCTATGGAGCCCAGCAGGATCATGGAGTCTGAAGGAGCAGGAAGGAAGAGGAAGAAAGAAAAAGGTGACAGGGGATTTGTGAGGGAATGAGATGAAAGTGGCAATGCAGACAAAGCTCACAGAGGTAGAAGGGGAACATAAAACAACTGTTGTGTCAGTTTCACTAAGCCGTTAAGACCAAAACTAATGCAGTCTAATGTAAGAGTCCTGCAACAAATCTTACCTTTAAGACGGTTATAATGTTCAGTATTTCATTTAAGCTGTTTAAGAGAGGTGTTGACTCAACAGTTTCAGTTCATATTCCTAAATCATAATTTTGCAAATTAGTTTGTTTTATTTAGAATGCTTGTCTTGATAACATTCGACAACTATGGTTTATTTTTAATACCTTTTTTTTAAAGGATTTGCAGAAGAAACTTATTTATATTCCTGAAAGTAATGTATTGATTAAGTTATCATGTTGGTGTCTAACTGTGTACTGAAACGCAAAGTATTACACTAGTATCGTAACAACAGCAGCCCTACTCCTGAAATCTGACAGGATCGCTGCACTAGTATCAAGTTGATCGCAGAGACTCGCTGAGATGGATTTAAATATGAATTCACTTACCACTGGACTCAACCAGGGCCAGTGTTTTGAGCTGACCTGTCAGCATCATCTCCTGCAGGTCCCGATAGCAAGAGTTCAGAGTGATGTAGCGCACATCCCTAACCATGATGTCCTCCACACGGATATTATACTTCCTGAAACATGGAAGGAGGGGGAGGAAATGACGGGACGGGGGAAGCAGGGAGATGTGGGTGCAAGAGAGGGAGAGAGGTGATACAAAACAAATGAGGGCACAAAAGATGGAATAAAAAAATGTCAGGGACAACTCTTTCTTTAGCGTTCATTAAAAACAAACTCACTCCTGATGTCCCATGCCCAGTTCGGGCAGATAAGGGAGTTTCTTGATGCGGATGATGGAGTCGTACAGTGACGGTTGGAGCGACTGGGCCACGGCGTTGGCCAGGATCACGGCGATCATCACAGGCAGAATGTGGGAGATCTGACCAGTCAGCTCAAACACGATGACTGCTGTGGATACAGTGTGGGTGACTGCTCCAGACAACGCTGCAGCACCTGTGTGGGAGGGAATTAAAGAAAAACCTTTTTCTGTCTCCTTAAAATTCATTCACGGACAGACGAGGATTTCGTGTGTGATCGGGCATCTTTTCAAAACAGCAATTCGAAACGAGACTGTTTAAATAACCGTGTGTTATGAATCAGAGAAGAATTTCCTGAAAGTCGGCAAATCCAAACCAGATTTTCATTTTCAGTCATTCTAATTCAGAACATTTAGGGCCATCCTGTCACACTAACCAGTGAGTCGTGACCGTGGCAATTTTGAACGATTTCCTATTTTACCTTCGGTCCAAAATGTAGTGTTCAACTAAAGTGGAATCAGATTTCATCAGTCACATCCTCTAAGCTGGCATGAAGGGATAAAAACGGCTGCAGCTTTACAGTGGGGACGATTTCAACCACACAGGAAAATTGAAGTGCCTGGGAATTATCAAGGCAAATAAGACACAAAATGGTGAATTAAAGTACAGCGGGTGAAAGAACTCACCAACTACAGCATAACCACCGGGGACTATGGGATACACGCTGCCGTCAGCATGTATGCCATCAGGAAACATGGTTGCCATGATCTCTCCGACAAGTCTTCCAAATGCTGCGCCTGTTCGTCACACACACAGATAGAAGACGTTACTTAAAGGGCTTCTTTCTCTTCATTGCAGTAAAGACATTAGAAAACACAGTGGATTTTCATTCACCAATAAGAAAAACTGGCATGAAGGCCCCGCATGGAACAGGCATGGTGGTGGCCACAGCGGACATCCAGAACTGAGACAGAGAGACAGAGCGTCACGAAAAGTCCATCAAACCAAACACATTTTACGGACATATGTCAAAAAGGCCTACCTTCATGACGATGAAGAGGATGAGTGTGATGAAGACGTTGACCTGTGGGTGTTTCCAGGCGTGGTGGTGGCTGATGTAGTCGAACTCCTCCGCCACGCCCTGGCGGCACCATGTTCGGTTGTCGAACAGCGCGACCAGAGACTCGTGCTGCGTCAGCTGACGGGTCGACATGAGAGAGAAGTCATCTGAATGTCTGTTTGTTATTCCGCCGTACCTGACCTCAAAGGTCATCAGCAAAAGGCTGTGTTGAGATCTACGTCTACTGGAAATCTACTGAAAATTTGATGCTACTGGTTGATATTATTTAATTGTTTTATTGAAATGTTTGTTTTCAATAACTCCCAGGAGTCTCCTCGTGATAGCATTATGATACTGAGTGGATTATCCTGATGAAATAAAGTATTTTGAATGGATTTCGAGTTTCGTAACTTGTGCACTGCAAACATACTGATGTTATTGACCTAAATCTTTCAAATGTTGTCGAGAAACAAGTGCAACTTTCTTGATGCCAGTTCAGCAACTTGTTTTATTCTGTTTTGTGTCAGGATTTCTTTCAATAAATGAGCACCGCTGCCTGTAAAACTGCACAGGACAAATAATAGGTATCCTCTCAGCTCACGAGCGGATGTTCGTCTTTCTTCTTTTGACAGTCTGAAAGGCCCAAAATAAATCTTAATGGCTTGTTACGCAGGACGATTGTGAAGTGCGGCAGGTGCACAGGCAACACCAGCACAAAAATTGTGTTCTCTGCATCTCTCAAGAGAAGAAAAGCTCAAACTACATTTCACTTTGTTGTGTCAATTGTCAGACGTTTCCAGTGGCAGAACAAAGTGTCTGCATCCACTTCATCTGAACCAGAGGCTTTTTTATTTATTGTTTCTTTTGCACAAGTTGTATCTAGCAAGTTATTAAGAAGCATGAGTGGAAAACCCTAAATATAAAATGACACTAAGACTTTGACAACAAACAAAAGGTTTTCTGTTGCATTTGTGCAAAAGATGAAGTAAAAAAGGTTTTGTTTTTGTCTTTATCTACATCGGGAAACATGGCAGCTATTGGACAGCTTTGTGCTGTCAAATAAGAGGAGCACAAAATGATACACAACCTGACGCCAACTCTCCCTTCGTCTAAAATGACCATCAATCATCTAACAACGGTGTCTGAAGAGCATGAAAGTATTTTCTCACCTGTCCGGCCATGAACTGCCCGAAGCCCGGGGGGAACGTGAGAGTGGAGACCAGCAGGGTGACGAGTGCGGGATACACCAGACGCCTGACAGGAAGAGATGGACTGTGGGGTCATTAATGGGTGTGCTTGTCACACTGTATGTGCATGCTTGATATCTGGGTGGTGAGGATGGAAAGACCATAAATACCTCCCTGGGAGGTGTGAAACTGAAACTGACCCAATTCATACAAGGACTTTACCTACATCTCCAAATATTATGTTAACTTTGTGACATAAGACACCAAGCCCATGTTAAACACAAATTTAGGGGCACATGAGCCAGATTTAGTTTAGCTACAGTTTAAATGGTTAAAATGTTGCTTCTCAAGATGCAGCTTGAATATTGATTAATATTTATTTTAGGTAAATATGAATATTCGCTTTCTTGCCAGGGGTTCGATGAGAAGATTGATGCCCCTATAGCTACAGCTGACAGTCAGTTAGCTTAGCTTAGCATAAAGACTGGGGTAACAGCTAGCCTGAATCTATCCAAAAGTCACTACATCCCCCTACCAGCATTTCTAAAGCTCACTAATTACCACATTATATCTTGTTTGCTTGTAACAAAGTTGAGCGAGGCTAGTTGTTTCTGTCTAGCTGGTCCATGCTAAGCTAAGCTAACCGTCTGCTGGCTGTAGCTTCATATGTACCGACTGTACAGACACGAGAGTCTATCGATCCTCTCATCTGACTCTCGGCAAGAAAGCGAATAAGTACAGTTTCCCAAAAATGTCAATCCCCAGAAGTGTAAATGTTCTGTGCGACATCAGGAGGCAGATACTCACTTCCTCAGCAAGAACTTGTTAATAGTCTTCTGTTTCCTCATGCACTCTACAATATGCCGGTTCAGGTAGACAAACAGAGCACCACCAAAACCACAGGCAATCCTGCAGACAGACAAAGACACACGTGTTTGGTCTGTTGAAGGTGAAACACAAGAACAAAACCAGCTACACTGCAAAGCAATCACACTGAAATACAATTTTATATTTTATTGCGCCTGGTAAAGTCACTTTACCGGAAGCCAACCAATGTTAATTTCTTGTTTTTCTCCAGTAAAACGTATTGGCATCAAACAAATCGAATTTGGCATGCGAAGATGTGGATACAGTCTCTACTTGTAATCAGCAGAGTAAGAAGTTAATTTCATGCCTCGTTCATTGAATACAAATCAACCTTCAGACTGGAATGTGAATGTGACCAGGACGAGACTACAGAGAAAGAGACTGAGTTTCAGGTCCCTTCGGGCGCCGAACTGCTCCTGGGATCAGTGTAATGTGGCGTCAGTCCGGGGGAAACATGCTCACCCGAGGATGGCAAACGCCGGCAGCTCCTGAAGGTCAAACGGGAAGTCGAGACGGAAACGGGTCTTAAAGAGAGCAGTGATGGTCTCTGAGGAAGAAGAGGACTGGTGTCACTGTGTAGACTTCACAGCAATATGTCTTTTTGTTACAGATGCAGATGTATTACACTGAACTTTAAATGGGATTGGACACCAAATGATTAGAACAATATACTCATTATGTGACACAAAATTGTACACATGGGGGCTTTAGATATTAATATTAGCCCATGTTCCATTGAAGTTATTAATAACATATAAGGTATGATTAAACTAAAACTAAATTATCTAACTTTTTCCAGATCTAATTGAATGAGATCTTATTTATTATCCATCCAGACAACTGAAAAAACACACTATTGCAAAGTCACAAAACACACCAGGTACACAAAGCAGAAAACTGTTATTAAAAATGTGGACTTTTGTCTTTGATAAACAAATAATTTGTCCCTAACCTTCCTCCTGGTTCCACACCGCCAGCACTCTGAATATGAAGGCACTGAAGGTGGCGGCAAAGAAGCCCCTCCAGTAATTCCTCACAGCAAAAAATGTAGAAGTGACCTCAATACTGAACAGCACCCCTGCACCACACAAACAAAGCACACTCGGGGATGTTATTCAAGAAAAGATTGGAACGGCCATCATGGAAAATGGCCAAATGGGGAAATTTGAACATCTACATTTCCATAAATTGGCCACTCCATCTGCAGAGAAAGATCCAAGGATGTAGAAAATAGTTGCAACATTAGACAGACAGACTGACAGAAATTGGCAACCACTCTCCTCCTAGCAGGGTAAGTATTCCCCCGATCCAATTAGCTCCCGTAATTATCTACCATAATTAGAGAGCATTACAATCAGAGGCTGCAGCCATGTTGTCTTACCTCCAATAGGGGCAGCGAAGCAGCAGCCCACACCCACTGCACAGGCAGCCGACAGCATCTCTGTGTTCCTCAGCTCGTTCTGTCCAACAAGAATCAGATATACACACAGGTAGACACAGACACAGACACACACACACACACACACACACACACACACACAGAGCCATGCATT